ATATCGTAATTTTGTATTAATTAGTTAAATTAAAGCTCTATATACAGTAAACCATTAATGTTTGTGTAAGAATTGATAAATTAAAACATGTGTATAAGCTATTTAGGTTCATTTTTCACTCATTCTACATCATTAATTGTTACCCTTAAATTAAACAATCGCCCTCAAACAGCTAACACCATGCACCACATCCAATATTCCTCTAATGTATACCGTCAAAAGTTTCTTGTAAGCCTCCAGCTATAAAAATAATGTTCATTAATACTTCCTCCTAGATAAAATCAATATATTCAACACCTATGTACAGTAAAAGTTTAATATGATTTGGGGGGATACTAATCCTATGGGGGGGATACTTATCCTATGGCCAGTTTTAGTATCCGGATACTTATCCTATGGGGGATACTTATCTTATATGACACCGGTAACCTTGCAAACAGTTTTATAAAAATATGAAGAAAATAAAGTTACAAAAGTGATTATAATATGGTTCCCATACTGAAGGACCAAGCCCTAATCATTTATATCCCCTTACATTAAATTAATTAAATTCAATTTTACTTTTTCATATCTGTTTGGACAGAATCGAAACATTATTACCATTCTGTAGTCCATCACTGCATGGTACAGATTCCAGGAATTCACCTTCCTGACCCTCACTGTCATGAGTAGTCTGGAAATCAGTATTTTCTGAAGCATTCTGTGTGTCGTACACGTTTGTCTCCTGGCTAAAGAGGTCCCCCGAGTCGGAAGGTGACAAATTATACGGGACACTTGACTCTCTGTCACAAGGACGTGTCCAATTATCCCATTCAACTTTGATCTGACGATAGATGTTGTACAACACATTCTTGTCCCCTGTTGGCAATGGGTCCATCTTCCCAGGTTGGTTCTCAAACTTGGACTGGTCCTCCATCTTGGATTGGTCCTCCATCTTGAAATTGTCCTCCATCTTGGATTGGTCCACCATCTTGGATTTGTCCTCCATCTGATAAACGAATCCTGATCACAGTCATAATTGTTTTTTCAATCCATCTAAATTTTGAAAGTAGATAGATTAATGTTTCACTGTATATTTATACTATAAAACTGGAAATGATCGTAATGCTTTTTTTGAATTGAGTAAATTAGTATAAATATTATATCAACACACAAATACAGATCATACCGTTTATAAAGATATAGAGAACATATTTAAGATTTCAGAACTGTTGTCAACATGAAAATCTCCACAATACCATCAGTTTAACTATAGAGTCACAACCCAAACATTAACTTATACAATATGTAGGTTTATTGTGTGTATTTACCCACTTATAGTTTTAAACATTACCGAAAAAATTTGAACCAGGTAAGTTAGATATGAATATACCTTCGAGGATACTGAATGCAAGTTGAACATTGCCATAAATTATAACATTTAGCGTAGGATGGTTTGTTATTTTGAGGAGAGTATTTCTACTGAACTGTATTTGACGGGGGTGGGCTTATTAGCAGGTATGGTCTTACTGTCGGATAAATATATTTATATGTACCCCAGGTAGTATTTTCAGACAAGGTATTTATTTCGAGGAGGTAAAAAATGTACAATGCAATGCAGTCAACTGTGATAATTTTTACATTACATTGATAAGATGTTTTCTTGATTTTCATGTTAACTTCAGTTCTATGGATAGGTATACATAACAAAAATATATTACTGGTTGTAATGATTTTGGTTTCACTAAACAATAAAGCAACACTTTTTACATGTAATGTTGACTTAATGATGATCATGGCTGTTTTGTTTGATTCAGTTCTCACAATAATGGGAGGCCACTCTGTCCAACTACCACGATATTTCAATTACCACTTTACTGTTCATATATAAATCTTTATACAAACATTTAATCCCTTTTTTTTAATTAACTGCAACAGTATTCCTTTAAAGGCATGTCACTTTAAAAAAATTAAGAGTGCAGTTGGTTTTATTAAGAGAAAACAAAAGTATATGTATGTTTTTATGTTTTTTTATCCCAACGAACTTCATCCTGCAGTAGGCATAGTATATGACTTGTTTTCAGTTGTTTTCACAATATGTTACTGAGTAAGAAAATAAAAGTCAGATAGCAAATACAGTGTTATTAGCCTTTCCTAACGTCTTTGTAGTCTCCCCTTTGTACGAAACAAAACACTGGCACTGCAATCCTCACTAAGTCCACATTACATGTGGTTTTCAATGAAACTAATATAACAACAAACAGTAATTAATGTATTTTTACTTTGTAAATTTGTTATTTTTATTATTATTTTTTCATGTTATTCCCGACAAGTGGTTGGCCAGAAGTGCATCACGTGTCCACCGTTAAAACTGATATTGACTTGGAGTGCATGGTTTTTGTTGAAGGACTGGGTGTTTCTAAAAATATAATTATGACGTGTCTCCAAACAATGCACCATCCCACTTCCGAAGCGTTTTTGTTGTGGGTTTTTTTCCAGATCCAAGTTTGGACTGACGTAGAGGATTTAAAAGGGACCAAACCGATGCTACGGTTCCCGGTTGTTTCGCCCGAAATCCCATTCGCCCTAGCTAGGTTGTTTCGCGCTAGGTTGTTTCGCCCTAAAACAAAAATGTTTAGGGCGAAACATTGTTTGGTAGTTTCTACCAGTTTTAGTAGTTTTTAGTGACAATTTAAGTCTACTTAGTCTCCCATATCAATAAAATCAATTTTATAAAAGAAATGTGTTTCTGTTGTTTTTAAGCAAGTGTGACAGACGGCAGCTGTGTAAAGCTCACTCCGCACTCACACAGTGGCTGCATGAAATATCCCTAACATCAATATAACAAGAGGCCCATGGGACTTAACGGTCACCTGATATATTTATATAGAGAGTTGATTTTGTTTTTTACATGAACAGAAATATTATTCAAAGTGACAAAAAAACAATAAAACCACCTAAACTCAATATCTAGCATACAGATTTCAGACTAAAAAGGATTTGAAACTAGCACCTCTGATTCTTAACAAGGAAAATGAAGAAATTTTAGCACACTGACTCCCTTGAGCCCCACCCTACAG